GGCATAAGCCACACTTGGGTAACTGATAGAGAGATTTAGTACGTATGGACTCCAAAGTAAAATTTTCAGATAAGAAATCCTGATTCCTGTTCCCCAGATGTTGCTGGGCTGTCAATAGCAAAAAAAAACCAAAAAACAAAAAAAACAAACCAGCAATAATTCTTGGTCTACAAACCATTAATCCATTATTTATATCTCAACTGTACATGATTTTATAATTAGCATCCAAGTTAACTGAAACAGAAGTGGGCAGGTAATTGGGTATGCACAGTCAAGTTTTGGAAACAGAGATAGTGGTTGGAAATGTCTGAAGATGATATTTCTGTTTATGCTTCCTGGGAGGTAGAGACTTGAAAGAGAAACTGGAATTTAACATTTTCTTTTATGCCAGTAATCCCTGTACTCTTTAGAATGTCTCCACTTCAAAAACAGAACATAAAATAACATCTGCTGCTGCACTTTTCCATTACTTATCACTTGTAGTGATTCAGAAATCAAATATTTAAATATGAAAATCACATGGTTTTCTAATGCATTTACCTCATGTAGAGGACTGAAATAATCAGAAATAATCAGTGCTAATCCATTTCTTCTGTCTAGCATTCTGACTCAGCTGTCCCATTTTTTTTCCTCCCTGTGAATCAAAATCACATGCACACCACACATACGTAAAAATCCATTTTTACCTTGAATAACATAAGCAGTAATCATCACCCACCATTATTACAGAAGATTAGCAGTAACCTTAAGGGACATAATCTGCACTGAACTTTTATTCATCAAGCACCATTTATGTGAAGAAAATTTAGATGGATAATTCCACAACCTGGAAATTATAAAGAATGAGCTAATGAAAGAGCTGCAAAACAGGTAGCAGTGTGTTTTGTGGTAATCATCAAACACCTAATCTTGTGTGGGGGGCTTTGAGATTGACTGATTCCTGAAAGGAACTGCCCATTGGAAGTGCCACTGTTTACTGCTTCTTAATTCACCAACATAGGTCTGATATCCATCTGACTCCATTCCTGAAGCCACAGGTGGGGACTATACTTCCCTTACCAGAAGCATGCAGAAATTCCTAGATGAATTAAAGTGAAGTCGCTCAGTCGTGTCCGACTCTTTGCAACCCCATGGACTGTAGCCTACTACGCTCCTCTGTCCAGGCAAGAGTACTGGAGTGGGCTGCCATTTCCTTCTCCAGAAATGAATTAAAGGGATGTCTAAATTATAAGATCCTCCTCATTGCAGCTGCTGCTGTTTAGTCACTGTCATGTCCAACTCTTCAGAACCCTGTGGCCTGTAGCCCACCAGACTCCTCTGTCCAGGGATTTCCCAGTCAAGAATACTGGAATGAGTTGCCATTTCCTTCTCTAGGAGATCTTCCTGACCCAAGGGTTGAACCTGTGTCTCCTGCTTGGCAGGCAGATTAGCACTGAGCCAGCCATCTGGGAAGCCCCCTCCTCATTGCTAGGAGATGGATTTGGCTTTCTTATTTTGTTCCAGGTAATTTTTTTCATGAGCAGCTTACTAACTCTAGTCAATTTATCTTTTGAATCACTGACTTCTGATACTTAATCTCTATGCATAGCATCCTACAGCATGGTAGTGAAAAGGAATAAAAAAAAATATGAGTGATAGTGTGGAGGTATCAATAGAAGCTATCGGCTGAATGTGGGAAGTCATGGAGAAGAGGAGTCAAAAGTTTTTAAAGCTTTGAAACTGGCAAAGTAGATAGTAATTACTTTCATAAGTGAAAAATGAAAAGAAGTGAGATCAAGGGAAAAGATTTGAAATTTTGTTTGGATACTTTTGAGCTAGTCACAAAGTAAGCAAATGGCTGTGTATGAAGACTGCAGCTCAAAGAAGTTGACTATACAAGCTGGAACCTAAGGTCAGGGAGTCATCCACACAGGTGTTATGGTTAAAGTTATGGGAAAGAATATTTCTAAGGGAGGAATTATGAAGAAATAAAAGTTAATGACTGAGTAAATAACCTAAGGAATGCCTGCATTTGGATATGAGGAAAAAGGGAAGCAAAATGACATAGAAGGAATTCTCAAAGGTAGGGAGATTAAATTGCACACCCATGATTGATGAATTGATTCATTCATTCATCCATTCATTTAACAAAATATTTTAAGTTCATTCAGCATCAGTCACTGGTATGAATGCTAGATGGAAAAAAGTAAGACATATTAGACATACCACTGCTCTCGTGGAACCTACATTCTAGTAGGGGAGACAGACATTAATCAAATAACCATATAAATAAATGTAAAATTCTAATTGTGTTAAGTTCTACAAAGGAGAAGCATATGGTGCTATGAAACTGAATAATTCAGCGGGGAAGGATTATAACTAGTCAAAGAGGCCAGGGAACACTTTTCTGAGGAAGTAACGTTTTAACTGAGATTCAAAGAATGACTAAGTACTATAATAGCAAATAGTCAAAAAGATGAACTTAGTTCAGTTCAGTCACTCAGTCGTCTCTTTCTGACCCCATGGACTGCAGCAGGCCCTGTTTCCCTATCCATTACCAACTCCTCGAGCTTGCTCAGACTCATGTCCATCGAGTCGGTGAGGCCATCTAACAATCTCATCCTCTGTCATCCCCTTCTCCTCCTGCCTTCAATCTTTCCATGAACTAAACAGAGGTAAAGCTGTGCCCAGGTCCTGGAGCACGAGGGAGCATTTTGGTTAGGAAGAATTGAAAGAGGGCCAGTAGGGCTGGACCTGAGATAGGAAGAAGAGTATGGTATGAAATGTGGCTGGAGTCAAGTTAGGAACCGGATCAAGCAAGGTCTTATAGGCCAGACTAAGGATTTTATCTTTATCCAAGGAACAAGAGAAAGACATTGAAGAAAGTTAACCTGGAGGTGAGAATGGGGATGACTTATTCAAATTTGCATTAAAAAAATCTGCAGAACACAGAACAGAAAAAAAAAAGAGGTAAGAGTGGATACTGGTAGTTCTTCTAGGAGACCTTCACAAATGGTGGGAACAATAGGTGACAGATTTGGACTAGGGTAATGGAGAGATGTGAATTGACTCAAGATACTTGTAAAATAATTAGGGCTTGGTGATGGAATAGATGTGTGAGTATATCAGAGGGTATGAGAACTGGGAGAGGCAAAGGTGATTCCCAATTTTTCACATATCTGGAGAGAATTTTTGTTTTGTTTGTAAAGCTGAAGGCAATGTGGTGAATTCAATGTCCGCTCAGGTTCATCTCAGCCTATGGTTACGGTCTTAAAAATTTTCCCCTTCCTGGCCTGATTGTCTCCTATAAATTAGAGAAGAAGAATCCAGGTGAAAGAATTTAGAATGTTTCTTTTTTCCTGGCTGTTTCACACAGCTTGCAGGATCTTAGTTCCCTGACCAGGGATCAAACCTGTGCCCCCTATGATGGAAGCACAGAGGCCTAACCACTGAAATGCCAGGGAATTCCCATAGAAAGTTTCCTTCCTTATATTGAGGTATATTTACTTAAACTGTACAATCATTCTATCTACAGCTTGATGAAATTTTATATATGTGTACACTAGAATAATCATCACCAAGATTAAGATATAGGTATTTCCAGCACACCAGAAACCTCCTTGGGTTCTCCTCCCAGCTAGTAACCACCAAGATTAATGACTATTTTGACTTCTATTACTGTAATTTGGGCTTCCAAGGGGGCGATAGTCATAAAGAACCTGCCTGCCAAAGCAGGAGACACAGGAGACTCGGGTTCAATCCCTGGGTCGGGAAGACCCGCTGGAGGAGGGCATTGCCTGGAGAATCTTATGGACAGAAGAGCCTGGTGGGCCACAGTCCGTAGGGTTGCAAAGAGACACGACTAAAGCCACTTAGCACACACCCGTTCCGGTAATACTGTGATATAATAAGAAATACATATATCTGGTTCAGCAAGAGCTCCTAAAACTCTTGTAATTTACCAAGTGATAATGTTTAGAGGAGAAGCTGTTGTTATTCATAACAAGTCCCTTTCAACCACACTTGAGTTTCTGTTAGTAAGGCGACTCAAGATGGGCCCCTTGGGCTTTCCTGGCAGCCCTGCCATAAAGAATTCACCTGGAAATTCAAACAGGAGACACGGGTTTGCTCCCTGTTCTGGAAGGATCTCACAGGCCTCAGAGCAACGATAGCAACTAAGCCCATGAGCTTGTGCTCCAGAGCCCAGGAGCCACAAGTGCTGAGTCCACGTGCCTTAAATACGAAGTTTGCTTGCCCTAGAGCCCGTGCTCTGTGACAAAAGAGGCCACAGCAATGAGAAGCCTGTGTATCACAGCTAAAGAGTAGCCCCTGCTCTCCACAATGAGAGAAAAGTCTGCACAGCAACGAAGACCCAGCACAGCCAAAAATAAATAAAAAAATTTTTTTTTAATTAATGAAGGGCCCCTGGAGAACTTTATGATGGGGGCTGTTTGCCAGAGGAATCAACTTTGTGATTAGAATGGTGAAATTTTCAATCCCTCTCCTAATTGTCAGGAAGGAGGGAGGGACTAGGGACTGAGTTAATTATCAAGGAACATGAAAGACAGGTCAAGACAGGAATGTGTCCAGACTGGGAGAGGCTGGCTGCTGCTGCTAAGTCACTTCAGTCGTGTCCAACTCTGTGCGACCCCACAGATGGCAGCCCACCAGGCTCCTCCATCCATGGGATTTTCCAGGCAAGAGTACTGGAGTGGTTTGCCATTGCCTTCTCTGTATCAGTCTTTTAAAAACAACTGTGACTTTTAAATTTCCAAATGAAGTTTGGGAAGACCGAGGCAAAAGGAGAAGAGGCCAGCAGAGGATGAGTTGGTTGGATAACAATACCTATTCAATGAACATGAACTTGGGCAAACTCCAGGAGATAGTGAGAGACAGGGAGGTCTGGTGTGCTGCAGTCCATGGGGTTGCACAGAGTCAGACACGACTTAGCAACTGAACAACTCACTTTCAAAAACCTCTTCATTCTATTTTATTTTCACAGAAATGGTGAGTTCCACTGGAAGGTTCATTCAGGGATTGTTCCTGGGATGTCAAGATGAACTGCACCAACCTGGAGGATGAGGCTATAGCCTATACAGCGGCAGAGGAGACCAAGATCTAAGCGCAGCCCAACATAAGCCTGGAGATTCTCAAAGGAAGTCCAGACTCTTGCCCAATGAGCTCCTGAGTCATCCAGGGCATTATGAGGCAAGACAGAACTGGAACAACAGGCTCAAAAAAAGGAAGCTGACCCACTTCTGATCCACTCACTGTGTATATGTCTCCGAAAGGCTAGACCTGACCAAGTAAGATGGAGCTGCCTTTCCCAAGTGGTTAGTGGCAGTGCTGACTTGGGATGGCGGAGGACACTGTCTCAATCTGGTCTTTGGTTCGGCTTGGAAAACAAACCCAGATCTCCTCCTAGGCAGAACTTCAGATGGGCCAACACAGCTCCCTGGAGGTATGAGGCCTGAGGCCTGAAGCCTGAAGGGATCAGCAGGTAACTGGGCACTAACAGTCTGAGACCCATCAGGAAGCTTTTTGCTTCTTCAAAGGATTTCTTTGCCTGAAGAAAGATGGGGGCTGGCACTCACACCCCTACAGAATCTTCTGGAAATGGAGGCAGAGGTGATCCTGAAGAAGCCCCCTTGTCTGGCGACCAATGTCAGCCCTCATTGAACTGAAAAGTCCAAAGCTCCTCTCTTCTCAAGTGATTCAGATTTTCATGCTACCTGACCTGATGGAGACCCAACCTGGGCCCTGGGGGACAGGCAGGCAGTGGCAGTCCCCTGTTCGTTCCGGTCCTCAGGACTGCGTGGGGGACCTAAGAAACAAATTATAGTGGCACGCCTATATCATACAGCACAAAAGACAGTCTGACCGGCAGGTCAGGGGACTCTAAAGGGAGGCGAGGTCCCACGCAGCAGCTAAAGGAGACGTGACTTCGGGGCGGTTGCGACTAGGGCAGCAGAGACTGTCAGGCGGAGAAGGAGGCCAGTGGAGGGAGAAGACTGTGGGAAAATGAAGCCTGAGAGCTCCCCAGGGGTAGTGTTAAGGGGTACCTGGGCTGATTGTGGCAAGCAGGGTAGGTTCTCTACAGTGTGAAAGTCCGGATATGATGGCGATGATTTCCAGTCAGACTTTAACTTGTGGGGTGGGGTGAAGTGTTAGTCTGACTCTTTGTGACCCCACGGACTGTAGCCCGCCAAGCTCCTCTGTCCATGGAATTCTCCAGGCAAGAATACTGGAGTGGGTAGCCATTCCCTTCTCCAGGGGAATCTTTCCGACCAAGGGATTGAACCTGGGGCTCCTGCACTGCAGGTAGATTCTTTACCGTCTGAGCTACCCGGGGTGAGGAGAAAAAGTTAAGCCCTCCTCTCACAGAGTCCAGCCCTTGGCGCCAGGGCTTGGTTTCATAGGTTTCGGGAAACGCGCAGTGCTCAAGAGATAAAACCAGTGGCGACTGCGGGGCAAAGGCGTGTTGGAAGGAAGTCCTTCCGCGAACGCGGTTAAACGTCTTCACTTCCGGGTACGTCCGGATGGGCGGATGCGGCTGCGGTGTTGACGGCCAAAACCCAGATTCCTTTGCCCCGAAGTCGCTCACCTCCAGCGGCCGTCAAACGGCAGTTGAAAAAGAGCGGGCGGCCGTAAGCAACAGCCGCGAACTCTAAGGCCAGCCCTACACCCCGCCCTTCTCTCCGGACTGCGTCTCCGTGGCGACGCGAAACGAACTGCGGCTGCGCGAGGGTGACGGAGCGCGGGCGAAAGGGAGGGGGTGTTTTGGTTCCAGCCGCTCGCCGTCCTTTCTAGACCCGGTCGTCTACAAGCTCGGGTTCCTGTCTCCCTTTCCTTTTCCCTTCCCTTCCCCTGCCGCAGTCTTCCCTCCCTCCTTCCCTGCTGCCTGCCTGCCCTTTTTTTTTTTTTTTTTCCCCTATTGCCGCCCGGGGTCCGGGCCATTTTCCGGGCCGGGCGCACTCACCTCCAGCGGCCGTCAAACGGCAGTTGAAAAAGAGCGGGCGGCCGTAAGCAACAGCCGCGAACTCTAAGGCCAGCCCTACACCCCGCCCTTCTCTCCGGACTGCGTCTCCGTGGCGACGCGAAACGAACTGCGGCTGCGCGAGGGTGACGGAGCGCGGGCGAAAGGGAGGGGGTGTTTTGGTTCCAGCCGCTCGCCGTCCTTTCTAGACCCGGTCGTCTACAAGCTCGGGTTCCTGTCTCCCTTTCCTTTTCGTTTCCCTTTCCCTGTGGCCGTCTTTCCTCCTTCTTTGGTTTTTGCTTTTCTTGCTTTTTTTTTTTTTTTTTTTCCCTATTGCCGCCCGGGGTCCGGGCCATTTTCCGGGCCGGGCGCACTAAGGTGCGCGGCCCCGGGGCCCAGTATATGACCCGTCTCGCTCCCCCGCGATTCCCCCGCCCCATGTGGCTGCGGGGCCGCGGCGGCGCTGCCCACTATGGCCAGGAAAGCAGTTAGCAGGAAGCGGAAAGCGCCCGCCTTGCCGGGAGCTGGGAGCGACGCTCAGGACCCACAGGTGAGGGCCGAGACGCCCGGAGGATAGGGTTCGCACTTTGGGAACCAGAATGAGGCTCCAAGGTCTTGGCGGGGGGCGGGGGGAGGGGTGATGTGCGGAGGTGCGTAGAGCGGAGCCCTAGACTATAGGTTCAGGCCTGGGTCCTTAGGAGGTCTTTGGATAGCAGATAGGCCCGCAGGGGTCAGAAATTAAAGGGGAACTTGAAAACGAGGCATGTTCTGGGGAGATCTACAGGCGGGAATGGGGCTTGAGGAGGAAACAGTCTGGGCTTCGGAGAAAGGGAAACCGAAGTCGAGGAGAATCGGGAACAAAACCTCGCTTAAGATACTGGGAGGGAGACTGAAGTCCGTCTTTCGGTGGCCGGGGGACGGAGATGGTTGCGTCTCTCAGGAATCGGTACCCAGGCCCCCTAGATAAATAGTTTCCAGATATCACCCTGTCCTGCTCTCTGAGTCTTGAGTCTCTTCAGACTCATATTTCCCGTTACTCCCACCCCGTTGGTGTTTGATTTTTCGAATTCTACAACTGCCTGGAGCGTGGACCTGGTGACAGGCAGACGGCCATTGCTAGGGCATCCCTGAAAGACCTGGGACCCCAGTTGGGCTTCTTGGGCCGCACCTACCATGCTTCACGTAGAGTACAGGCTGAGAGGGAGAAGGGGGGCCATTAGGTTGCAGCCCAGGTCTGTATGGTAATCTCTGGGCCCTTCATTCCCTTCCCTATTAAGGACAGTTTTAAGGTTAAGGAATCCATCTGCAATGTGGGAGACCCTGGTTCGATTCCTGGGTCGGAAAGATACCCTAGAGAAGAGATAGGCTACCCACTCCAGTATTCTTGGGCTTCCCTTGTGGTTCATCTGGTAAAGAATCTGCCTTCAATGCGGGAGATCTGGGTTCAATCCCTGGATTGGGAAGCTCTCCTGGAGGAGAGAAAGGCTACCCACTCCAGTATTCTTGCTTGGAGAATTCCATGGTCTGTATAGTCCTTGGCATCGCAGAGTCCAACAGTACTGAGCAACTTTTACTTTCACTTTAAGGTACCTGAATCCTTCACTTCTAAAAGGCCTTAAAAAACCTATTGTCCTCTTTTATGCTTTCATTCCTTTGTCTTCCAAGTCCTTTTTTCCCATGGGTATGACTATAAGCAGCATCTTTTCTGTGGCCTTTGAGATTGACTTTCCTGTTGCATTGTATTTGTAGCTCTGTTCTATGTAAATCCTGCGAGATGAGTTCTGTAATACGGGAGGATCCCCAATTCTGACAAAAGTCGGCAAAGCCTTGATTTCTCCTTTTGCTCTCCACAGTTTGGCTGGGATCATTCGCTTCACAAAAGGAAACGACTCCCCCCAGTGAAGAGATCCTTAGTGTACTACCTGAAGAACCGAGAAGTCAGGCTACAGAATGAAACCAGCTACTCCCGAGTGTTGCATGGGTATGCAGCACAGCAACTTCCCAGTCTCCTGAAGGAGAGAGAGTTTCACCTCGGGACCCTTAATAAAGTGTTTGCATCTCAGTGGCTGAACCACAGGCAAGTGGTGTGTGGCACAAAATGCAACACGGTAAGTGTCTGGGTGGATATGAACGTTCTCCTGGCTCTGGATATATGGCTCCACATGCCCTAGTATCTCACTGCTGGTTTTCCCCATCAGTTCTTTGGGGAGGAGACTGCCTTGTTATCCATTACATCTCCTCTTATCTGTCCATGACTTCTTCTCTATTCCTTTTTCCACTTCCACATTTCTTTTCTGATAAATCCTCAGAGGAGTCTAGTTCTGCAGGCCTCTTGTATTATGGATGTGCCACTGCTTCTACATTTTTTTTTCCTTCTTTTTATGTTGTTTTTTTAAGTCAGAGACCTCAGAGGAGAGGAAAGAGAGGAAAGAATGATGGTCAGGGCATCATTCAGGATACAGGATAGTGAAAACCTTGATGTTCTCTGCTAGCCTAAGGGCATATATAGAAATCTGAAGATAGTTCAGTTCAGTTGCTCAGTTATGTACGACTGTTTGCAACCCCATGAATCGTAGCACGCCAGGCCTCCCTGTCCATCACCAACTGCTGGAGTCTCCCCAAATCTGTGTCCATTGAGTCGGTGATGCCATCCAGCCATCTTATCCTCTGTCATCCCCTTCTCCTCCTGCCTTCATTCTTTCCCGACATCAGGGTCTTTTCCAATGAGTCAGCTCTTCGCATGAGGTGGCCAAAGTATTGGAGTTTCAGCTTCAACATCAGTCCTTCCAATGAACACCCAGGACTGATCTCCTTTAGGATGGACTGGTTGGATGTCCTTGCAGTCCAAGGGCCCTTCAGAGTCTTCTCCAACACCACAGTTCAAAAGCATCAATTCTTTGGCGCTCAGCTTTCTTTAGAGTCCAACTCTTACATCCATACATGACTACTGGAAAAACCATAGCCTTGACTAGATGGACCTTTGTGGACAAAGTAATGTTTCTGCTTTTTAATATGCTGTCTAGGTTGGTCATAACCTTCTTTCCAAGGAGTGAGTGTCTTTAATTTCATGGCTGCAATCACCATCTGCAGTGATTTTGGAGCCCCCCAAAATAAAGTCAGCCAGTGTTTTCACCACTTCCCCATCTATTTGCCATGAAGTGATGGGACCAGATGCCATGATCTTAGTTTTCTGAATGTTGAGCTTTAAGCCAACTTTTTCACTCTCCTCTTTCACTTTCATCAAGAGGCTCTTTAGTTCTTCTTCACTTTCTGCCATAAGGGTGGTATCATCTGCATATCTGAGGTTACTGATATTTCTCCTGGCAATCTAGATTCCAGCTTGTGCTTCCTCCAGCCCAGCATTTCTCATGATGCACTCTGAATATAAGTTAAATAAGCAGGGTGGCAATATACAGCCTTGACGTACTCCTTTTCCTATTTGGAACCAGTCTGTTGTTCCATGTCCAATTGTAGTTGCTTCCTGACCTGCATAGGAATAAGGCAAACACTTTATTTTAGGGGATAGAATCTAAAGATGTATTTTTTATTAGAAAAGGCAGGGAAGTGTGTTTGGTGGTATATTTCAGGAAATAGATGCTTGGTCTTTGCAAAGTAGCCTTCTGAAAAGGTTTCAGAAGCAAGAAAGTTGAATATGACATAGTAGGAGAGTATTTTTTACATAGCATGACTTAGATAATTATTAGTGAATGAAGGGAAAATTTTATCAGTAAATTTAGCCAGAACAATTAAAAGCATGGATAAAATAAGTCAATTCGTGATTGGCTATTGTGGCTATGATTGGGATAAAAGAGTAGAAATAGCATGACATCATGTAAATAAAGACAGGGCCTGCAGGTAGGAAGTGGTTTTGAATAATGTGAGAAAAGATGGGATGTAGGTCCAGCTGCTGTCTCTATTTTCACCTCACCATGAATGAATAGATAAGAAATGTCATAATGGCTGGGTAATTTTACCCTGGATAGAAACGTATCTTGGATCAGTTGACAGAGAAGATGGCTGTAGATCAAGAAAGTCTTTTAAGTACTAGGAGAAGTGTTTATATATATATATGTAATTTTAAAATTGTTTTTGGCTGCACTGGGTCTTAGTTGCAGCAGGAAGGATCTTCTGTCTTCATTACAGCATGCAGACTCTTAGTTGAGGTGTGTTGATGCTAGCTCCCTCTGTATGTGTGCACTCACTTGCTCAATTGTGTCCAGCTCTGGATACCTCATGGACTGTAGCCTCCCAGGCTCCTCTGTCCATGAGATTTCCCAGGCAAGAATACTGGAGTGGGTTGCCATTTCCTTCTCCAGGGGATCTTCCTGACCTAGGAATCGAACCTGTGTCTCCTGTTTCTTCTACAATGGCAGGCAGATTCTTTACCACTTGAGCCACCTGGGACCAGGGATCAAACCCAGGCTTCTGTATTGGGAGTATGGAGTTAAGTTTTATTATTAATTATTTACTTTTTTTTTTTCGGTTGCACTAAATCTTCGTTGCTGCACACGGGCTTTCTGTAGTTGCAGCCAGCAGGGGCTCCTCTGTTGCAGGCGCACGGACTCCTCGTTCTCTTGGCCTCTCCTGTTGCTGAGCCCAGGCTGTGAGCGCTTAGGCTTCGATAGTTGAAACACGCGGCCTCAGTAGTTGTGGTGCAAAGGCTTGGTTGCTCTGCAGCATGTGGGATCTTCCTGGACCAGGGATCAAACCTGTGTCCTACGTTCAGTTCAGTTGCTCAGTCACGTCCAACTTTTTGCCACCCCGTGGACTGCAGCACACCCAGCTTCTCTGTCCTTCAGTATCTCCTGGAGCTTGCTCAAACTCATGTCCGTTGAGTCAATGATACCATCCAACCATCTCATCCTCTGTTGTCCTCCTTTTGCCCTCAGTTTTTCCCAGCATCAGGGTCGTGGGTGTATGTGTGTGTTCCTAAATAAATGGAAAGATACTCTGTGTTCATGGATTAGAACACAATATTGTTAACATGGCAGTATTCCCCAAAGTGATCTACAGAATCAGTGCAATCACTATCAAAATCCCACTTGGCTTTTTTGCAGAAATTGACGTGCTGATCCTAAAATTCATACAAAATTTCAAGGGATCCAGAACAGCTCTGAAAAAGAACAACAAAGTTGGCAGGTGGACTCTTTTTTTAAAATTTTCAGGTGCTTCACTTTATTTTCCTTGTAAAGCAGCCATGCATTACACACCTTAAGCACGTGACAGTCACATGATTTCTTCCCTCAATAAGCCCCAGAGTTTCTGTAGCTCTCCTGGGGCCTATAGGCCGAGCAGTCCTGAGGAGTCAAATGTTAAAACATTTTCCATAGCCACGCGTACCTTTGATGTTTGGGTTACTGAACACAAACTCACTGGATAATTTGTTTTCAACATAGTCCATTTCTGTTCCTTCCAGTGTTAGCTGTGCTTTCTTCTTGATGAACACTCTGACTCCATCTTGAGCAGCTTCTTCATCAGAGTCTCCTTCTGTCTTTTTATTGGAGAGTGTAGGAAAGGCCATTACGGCCCCTGATTCGGATACCAGTTTTCACACCAACATGTTCAGGCTTAGCTTTAAGAAGTTGTTTTATCTTGTTCGCCTTGAAGGTGTCAGGGTGAGGGTTTTGGGTGGGCTGCAGCTTCCTCTTGCTTACAGCCTGGACGGTGGCCTGGATGAGTGAAGCCAGCATCCTCAGCGCCTGTGCTGGAGCTCAGCCACCTCAGCCTCTTTCCACAGACATGGGGAGCACGTTTGCAGGCAGATTGTTATGCACTTTAAGACCAAGAAGGTCTCCGCAGACAAAGATTTACATATCAGTTTTAAGGAAGAGTACAATACCACGGTGGTTGAGGCCAAGCTTTCATTTCCTCTCCTGTTGAAGGCTGCTTATTATAAAGAAGCCTTTCAAAACCAAATAGTGGTGGCAAGCTCCTGCAAAACTTCCTTTTCTTAGTGTCTCAGGCTACCACTCTTGTTTTAAGCGAACTGTCATCATTGTCACTTGACGCAGAGGAATTTAGAGGAATTCGTTGCACACCATACAGAAACCATCATAGTGTTTTGCTCAGCAAATGTTGCTAATTGTAAACTGAATCATTACAGTCTTTTGTTTCTTGAACTTATTGATGACCTTTTGAAGGTGAGAATAACCTTAAGTTGTAATTTAACCTACTCTTAATACGTTCCTCTTTCTGTCTTCCTATTTCCTCATGACTTAAAGTGTATTTCCTTCCTAGGTCCTTATGACCCAAAGTGGAAGCTTGTTTTCTTTTTGTAGTGTTTTTCTTTGCTGAGCTTTCAGAACCAAAATTAGGAATCAGAAACAGTGCTCTTCTCTGAATTTTGTAATATTTGGCAAATGATTCCTTTTTCTGTGCCTTTGTTTTCCAATCTGTAAAATGGGAGTGGTAACATCCAGTGCTGAGAATGTAGCTGTATACATCTTCAGAAATATTTCAAGTTAGCAATATCTTATTCTTCAAAAGGAGTAGTGGTGATAATGAATCCAAAGCCTTTTCCCATGCTCTTAGCACTCCCTGGGACTTCCCTCAGTTTAAAAGGAAAATTACTTAAACATTTAGAACTCTCTTTCACTAGTAGTTGAAGATTTTGGGGAGGGAGGAGTTCATGTCTGATTCTTGGTAATAAAGTTTTGATGTATTGAAATTTTACTGTCAATGAAATGATTTAAATGTAGGAAAAATGTACCACAACTATTTATATTCTAAAATAATCTTTTAATATATATCTGTGGGTTAGAAGCTCTTTTTCTCTTGGCTGCTGTTGTTATTTATGAGCTATATGTACACAGGTCATTTGACACAGATCATTTCCAGATAAACTGACTTGGGGCTATAGTATAGAAACATTCGTTGAGGCAGTGGGTTGTCCTGCCTCTGCTAAAAAACTAGCAGAGGTATTATAAATTATTCTATAGCTTGATTCCTGCAGTGAGAATTTCCCTGTGCTGTAGGCTGACACTCAAAGTAGAGGCCGTCCTTCAATCTCTCTGAATTCCCTGGGCCTGGTAATTACAGGAATTAGATGGCCAGCTTATGTTGTGGTGGTTGTTTATTTTTTCCCACACCACACAGCTTTTGGGATCTT